TCTTATTTTTCTTTTTCGGCAACGTGCATTTCAAATCGAGCTCTTAAGTTTTCTTTTACACTATCATCTCCTGTCCTGTAAGTAAGACACAAAGAGCACTGGTCTTTATTTGCTTTGTAAAACGATAAATTTAAAAATCGAAATACTCTTATGTATAGGTCGATACAAAGTTTTTCGTCATTATTATCAAGTTCGTTTATGAACATGTCATACATTTTCGATATTGTCAAGCCTGGGTGCAGATATTCCTTTATAGACCTGGACCTGCAGTAGTGTGATTCTACTTTAGGAAATCTGTGAATGTGTGTTACAATGGCGTCGCGTAGGTCTTTATCTCTGTTAATAACAGCAGCGGAATTTCGGCCACCTCGTTTTTCTTCTTCCAATACGCCACTTTCATCGACTTTATTTAATGCGGTTCTCATGAATCGTTCAGAAATTCCCAAAAATTTCTTGCACACTATCTTGGGAGTATTTTTCTATGTAAGAAAGTATTTGTTAGTAAATTTTCTTCTTGAATGTTTGCTTTTAGTTGTTTTGAAAATTGTTTGATGTGTGCTAACATGCAGTGCTATGAACTCGCGCTGCCTTATTAGATTTCCAATTTTACTAAATGATTTAAAAAGTTTAGATCTTTCTTCTTCGTTAAATAAATAACAATTTCGTGAATTCTTTTTGCAAACGTCGAAATTACAAACTTTCCTTGAGTTGCCGTGTTGGTACAACAATACCTGATTTAGGTCGTATGTACTCTTGACCAAGGTCTCTCATTTTTTTTGGCTTGTTTCTGTTTACTTACTTTTTTTCTCCTCTCACACAATTCTTCTTCTCTTCCTTTATCTTATACTAAAAAGTCTTCTGGTAGTCTTGCGTTTTCTAATGTATTGTCTTCGCCCATATTTTTACCAGTCATTTTTACTTTCCTATCTGTATACAGATATAAGGAAAGTATAGGAATCATGATTTTTTCGACCTCCGGTTTTCGACGGATTTTCTATTTAGTTTTACGAGATGATTTAATTTTTTTCGTAGTCTTTAAGTGGCTTTCACATGAATCCCCGTAAACTTGAAAATGCTGCCAGCATAACAGCCTTAAACAAATATGGCATGAATTAAATACCTCTTTTTTACAATCTTTTGCTTCGCAGCTTTGTTTATACGTAGGATCATCGATATCATAAATGTCGCTATCAGACTGAATATGATTAGAAGTTGGACCCTCAAGATCTGGAACAGGATGCCCCTCATTTCCTACTTGCTGATATTCATGAAAAACCGATTTTTTCAAGATACGTCACTTTGTGAAATTGACGACATTATCCTTATTTTCTGTCAATACCTAATGTTAAAAGATGAACAAGAAGGTACATGAAAAGCGTACCTCTTCTGAAATCCTAGGATATTAGAGATGCCTCAATATAATCGCTGTTGCGATTATCCGCCTAACAAAAACATGCATACGGTAAATTAGGTTTTTTTAGACACTTTGATACTTTAATTAAATTTTATTAACATCTTTAATTGGAAACTAGGCAATCTTATCTTATTGTTAATCCAGTTAGATAAATTGAAATCGTTTTCAATATCACTCAACCATAATAATTTATAATAATTTAGTATTAATTAGTGGATAATGAATGGCATATATCATATAAATAAAATGATACTTTATAAATAACATAATGACCACAAATTAATTATTTATAGATGTGATAATCAGTTATTTATGTACTAGTATTAATATTTGCTTAAGTAGAGATCAATTTGTAGAAATATGGTTTTAAAATTAAAAAAAAAAGTTGTAATATATAATTTTTGTTTGGTAAATATTGATAGTTATTCATTGAGATTAATGTTAGCTATTTAAATAAAAATTAATTACCATTAATTATAACTGCTAAATTCCATTGAAAATAATTATGCGTACGGAAATACATGCAATAAACTGGTTTAATTCGTAAATATTTGTTGTATTTAATTTATATTTAGTTTATTTTTATGTAGCTTCCAAAAAATATGAATTTAAAATAAACCATTGTTATTATTAGGTACTAATTTATATAATGTATAGGTACTACTTATTATAGGTACCGTATTTGAAAATAAAACAAGAAAATAATATCTACAATATTAATTATGCCTTTTTCTACAGCTAGGCATAATAAAAAACCACGTTTTCTCAACTATTAATAATCAAGATATAAGGTACATATTATTTGATAAATCTGAAACACAAAGTAATCATTTCCGTATCAGATTCTTATCTGATAACACAAAGTAGTCATTCCGTAATTATTTTTATATGTCAACATCTTTTTCTTATTTTTAAAGGATTGAAATTATTTCCTTTAGTAATTGCCAGTCTGGTTATTATTCCGCCTAGCTCTAGAGAACTAGGTGTCACAGCCGGCTTTGATTTTGCTTCCTAAGTACAGATGGCGCTACCATTTTTGCTCGTTCAATATCTTCACAATCTCAATCGCTATTAATGTGTATGAGTGAATTTTGTATTACCATCAGACTAGGGTTGCCACCTTTTTGAAAAGTGAATAAAAGACAAAGGACTACTATGCTGTCTCCGGTATACAAAAGTCCTTATCATTCCACTGAACTTCTAAAAAAAAAAGGTCCTAATATATTTTTGTACAAACGATGTCCCTTCTAAAGGTATGTGCTGTAAAAAAAGACATTTGCCGTAAAAAAGGACAATTTAAGCTTTAAAAAGTCACAAGGACATTTTGCTTCAAAAAAGGACAGGTGGCAACCCTACATCAGACTCCATTAGAGACTGGTGTCGAGATTGTCTATTTCTTGCTGAAGAGTCCCATTAAATACGAAACCTGTCCAAGAATGACTTTCTCCTTAGCAAGTAAAATTAAAGTTAGAGTATTGAAAATAAGGATGTGCACATTTTTTAAAACATCTATGTTGACATCAAATGATATATCGAATTACAGACTATTGATATTGTAACAAAATCGGGAAAGAACATCGATGTTTTTCAAAAACATTCATTGAACAAAAAAAAGGTCTTTGGACCATCAATTAAAACGTAAAGCTTAACAAACATCAAAAAAGAAATCATCGATGTTAATTAAAAACATCGATGTTAATAACATCGGATTAAAAAACATCGATGTTGACATTGACAATCGAAACCGAAAAATCGATGTTTTTTACTTATCAATACATCCCTAGTTGAAAATTATTTTCTATCTCTTTTGATATAATGTAATGCCTGTTACGGTATTATCCACAGGAGTAGTTGTTTTCAGGAGGGAAATGGTCGGTCATTGTTTTTGCGATACGGATTTTTTCTCCCTTTTCTTTATTGTTTATTATTACAAAAAATGAAAAAAATACTCTTCATCGACTTTTTATTATTTCATTTTTTTTTTAATATTTGACAATTCCACTTTGAAGCTGATTTATTAATGTGCAGAATATTTTTAGAAGGTATACCTATTATAAAATACCTTCCTGGAATACGCAGTCCTGATAGGATCAAACCTTTATTCCTGCCTTGTTCGTGTTAAAATTATACAAAAAATAGTACTTGCACAAACAGGAAAAGGAAGGACACAGCATCAATGTTGCTAGTCACAGGTCGACTTACCGTTCTCTAGCACAGTAACTAACCTGTAACTGGAAATATCGATGCCACATCGTTTTCTCTTCCGCACATGCGAACACATTTACTATTCCCTCTAATACAAATAAAGCAGGACCGAAGGGTTGATTCTTGCCAGCACTGTGTATAGTATTTATTTAAATTTTAGGTCTTGTGAAGGCCGCATTTAATCACAACTATTTTTAAATTCAATATTTTTCGTTTTATTTGTAATTCTATTTAAAAAAAAAAAAAAAAAAGAAAACAAAATATTACAAACAAAACTAGAGCTCCTAATAATAAATACTAAAAAACTAAATTAAAAAAACAATGTTTGTGAATTTGTTAACCGAAATTTAATTAGGAACCAGTTACGGCCATTATCAGAACCATTAAAAAAATTTACGATCCCATAAATGCCTGTCATTGTTTTAGAGTTATTAAAGAACTTATTAAAATATCTATTCATTTTTTTTAATTAGAAATTAATGCTAATTCACTTGTTAAGCTGTGTTAGCTTTTTTATGGCATAATATAGTCAAAAAAGTGTTTAGATATTAATATAAATTATTTTTTAATTGTGGTTATTAAGACATTTTGTTTTCGTTGGTCCGTTGGAATGTAGCTATAAAAGTTACACCGTAAAATCTTGATAAGATTCGAAATAAATAAGAATTAATATTCGTTGGCTAATAGCTGTTGACATTTATTTAAACATTTATGAGCTTTTGCTCATCAAAGTTATAATATATAGTTTAATTTTGATTATTGCATTCCTGCGTATAGTATAATTATTACTATAGCTAATAGATAATAATAAAATACGATATGTTTTCAAAATTAACACTTTAAAAAACAGTTAAATTTTGTAAGTTTTGACAACAAATTTATCCCATGAATATTCTAGAATCTTTTTGAAAATATTGTTTATTTGATGTAGATTAAATTTGCCAAGAATAAGACCATTAAAAAGAAAACAAAATTTAATAGAAAAAATCGAAATTATGAACAGATGAAAAAAGTTATTTCCAAAATTAATACAAGGCTTTAAATGACGGTTATACTTTTATTCAGAGGCGCCTGTAAACATTATTGTGGATTGTACAAATATATGAGACACTGGTATACATAGGAAGATGATAATAGAAATGTTAAAGGTAGTTGACGAAAAAAGTAGAACTTGATTTGAAGCAAAACAGTAAACAAACCGATTTTTCTTGATGAGGATTTCGCTCTATGTACACAGTTTTACCCTCAGCTCTAATTTAGTAACCAACAAAGTAATTCCGTTTGGTAAAGTTTTAGTTGCATAACAAGATACTACATAATTTTTAAACAACACTTCCCTTATAATCTATTTATAATACTGAATATTGTTAATTTGTTCCAGGTCCAGATATTCCTGGATTCCTCCTTCAACCTTTTAGAAAACCAAAGAGGATAAGGACGGCGTTCAGTCCTTCGCAGTTATTAAAATTAGAGCACGCTTTCGAAAAAAACCATTACGTCGTTGGCGCCGAACGAAAGCAATTGGCGCAGTCGTTGTCGTTAACGGAAACTCAGGTAATTTAATTAGATATTATTTGATTGACCATACGGATAGAGTAGTATAGAATTAATTGAAGTTTTGTATATGTATTGTAATGATGGCTTCGAGTATATTATCAAAGAGAATATTAGTTGATATCTATCTTCATTCTAATCATATCTTGTTGATCTGAGGATAGCAAAGGGTTTCAGGAGTTATTAAATAATAAATAAGAAAAGATAACCCCTAAACACTTTCTTCACAAGTTATCTTGATTTATTTGTGTATTTTTCTATTATTTACTTGTTTAATTTTCTAAATGTGTGACTGACATACTTCTACTTTACTCTCTTCATTGTGTCTCTCAAAACACCGTGATGGGGCAAGAAATATGAAATAGAAGTATTTTCTGAACATTTAACATCATTGAAAAGTTTGGTCATATGACCTAGCGATTCATATTCGTGAATAAAATCATAATATAATTTCTTAAAATTGTTATCATTAAATTTCGTTTCAAGAGATAAAAAACGTTTAATAGCATTTCCTTTAGAATTGCCTAACATAGAAGGAGAGTGCTTTGGTGGAAACTTCACCACAAATAGACCTTCGTCAAATTGTTCTTCACACTCTAAATCGTCTTTAGTTAAAGGAATGTTAACTTTAATTTCTTCAAGTTCCCAAAACTTTTTTAATTGCTCATCCTCTTTCTATATGTACTTTGGAAAAGTTGCAAATAGATGTGGATGTTAATTGACTTGAGAAAGGTAATACTCCACAAACAATATAACCGAATAGAGACTGGAGAGATTATTAGATAATTGTACTTTGCCGTCAAATAAAAGGTCCCAAAATAGACTAGCACCTACTAATAGGTCTATCTCCCTAGAAATATAAAAAATTGGGTCTGCTAATTGAAGACCTTTAGGTATATTCCATTTTCAACATCATTGATATGGTATGACGGAATATTGCTAGTAATAGCAGAACAAACAAAGCAAGAAATTGTACAATTATAATTGGATGTGTTGGAAAAGATTGACAACTCGCACCTTTTATTAAGTTGAGAAACTATCTGGTTTATCCCCATAATTGATAAATTGGATGGAGAACAATTAAGGTTTAAATTTTTACAAAACATTTCTGTAATTAAATTAGATTGTGATCCAGAATCTAATAATGCTCGACAATCATGATAATTGCCATTAGAATCTTTAACCTTGCATATAATTGTAGACAAAAGAATTTGAGATTGATGCGTTAGGTCTAATTAACATGTTTATACTTTGGGACTCTGGGCTTCTACCAGAAACGTCACCATTAAGGTGAAGCAAAGTTTTGTTTTGTGTTATAACATTCTTGGATGCTTTCCAGTCTTTGTTCTGTATATTTTTTTAATTGATTCAATCTGAAATACAAAATCGCAAAATACAATAGACAAATTATTTTTATACAAAAATAATATTTAAAGGAACTAATGAAAGACAAGCTTTTGACGATATACAAAAGATTTATGGCAATTTCTTTAGGTACAGTTAATAAAAGGAACTTACTGTGTTTATTAGTTGTATTGTTCTTCTCTTGAAAAGTCCCTGAATAAATTTTTTTACTTACTATCTTTAAAATGTTCACTAAAAAAACTGATGACACAGTTATCTTGCGCTTAGCTGAACATATTAATTAAACTATTACGATAATCTCCAGAAGGAAATACTAGTGAAAAGGCTGATTAATCTTCTCAAGACAACAAATCTCTTTAACTTGACTTGGTGCAGCCAGCATCGCAATAAGCCTTCAAGGCTGTAGGCGGTTCAATTTCAGATTGCTATTAAACACATTAATAAAAAAAGACTATTCCTGTTTTAAAACATAATTTTTTAATTTAATGTTGGCTGACAAATTTACTTAATTACTTAAAACAAATAAAATCAAAATTGGAAAAATATTGTATTCAACAAAAGTTGTGAGTAGGTATTGTAAAATGGGGGTACTTAGACTGCTGAGGTGAGTTTGCTAGAATGTAAGAATGTTCAAAACTATTGTTAACGAAATTTGAAACTCCAATTTCAATTCGTTAATATACTGAATATTAAATATAATATGATAAATTATTTGTCGCGTCATTAACTGCCATCTGAAGACATAATTCTACCGCGACGTTGACTCTCTATTATGTCCCCTCGGTCGATAAACTAATGCGCACGCATCCTCGTGAAATAAACTATCAATTTCGCGTCGAATGGGATAGGGATTAACATTACAAAAACCCGCCGGGGACTTTCGGGACCGTCGTGTCGTCTATTGGGAAGGGATTGTAGGGACAATTACAAGGGAAGACGATGAATGTTATTGGCGCAGGGGGAATTCGAACCGTTTAACGCCATCTTGGCGGGAGATGACACCGTACCCTCCCTTCGTTGTTTGTTTTTGCGATTACTTCGGTTAGGGTTAGGGTGTTATTATTGAGGAAAGATCCATTTGACGCTTGTTAATTTCAGTTATTTTAATAGTTTATTGTAATTGTATCCTAAAAGGGGAGCGTATTTATCAAATTGGTTAGACACGAAGACGTTGTAAATTAAATAAAATAATTTCATTATGAAATATAAATATTTAAAATAGAAAATCTTAAACTTAGAATATGAATATTTAATCCAAATCGCATAGAGAAAATGTAGAAGAATACAGCTCTTCCTGAGCCCCTGTTGTACGCTTCTGGTGATAACAAGAAACTATTTTTATTATAATTTGATGTGTCTTAAAGTACTTGCCAAATATCCTAAAGAAAATATCAGGCAGTATTAAAATAATTATCAAAATTCCCTGTGTAATTTTGAGCAGTTAGAATATTAATAAAACACCCGTTATATGTTGTAGGTAATATTTTTAGGTAATACTACCACATAAAAATTATCGCATTATAATTTATATTATTTTCAAAATAATTTTTACTTCTAAAGGGTAAGTAACTTGAATACCTATTTAGTAATGCCTATAATAGTCTTTTGATGATATTTAAGGCAAAAAACTATAAAATATTGTTTTCGTGTTTTGTAATGGTAGATAAATATTGTAATTTACCGATTTTATGGTTTATAATAAGGTTTTTAACTTTGGCATTGATCATTACGTGAATTCCTCGTTTAATTTTTTACATAATTGTAAAATTATGGATGATCCCCGATGACTGACACGTCATTTAACTGATGAAGGAGCTGTAAATGGCCGTTACATTAATTGAAGATGTTCGATCTCTTAGGCGTTGCCCAAAGCAGCATTTCCAGAGGCGTAACGCGTTATAGACAGACAGGGCAATATACAAAAAGACTTGGACAGGGGCGTAACACAGCAACCACAGCTTTAGAGGATCGTTTTTTTACATATAACTGCCATAAGAACCAGTGATGTAGATGAGATGCAACAAAATAAACTCTAGGTTGCCAGAAATACCAGTTTTTGTAGGCAAACAGGAATCGTCTAAGAGAGGATGATATTAGAGGAAGCGATATTAAAACATCGAGTTGCTTATCCAGAGTTTGCTAGAGCAGTGGTCGCCAACTTGTCGATCGCGAGCTGCCAGTAGCTCGCGGAGGCAATTCTGGTAGCTCTCACAACGATTTTAATTTAAAAAATAAAAACTGCAAAAATCAGAGAAGCTTCCGAAAATTCCACAAAAAAATCTAATTGTCATAATATTAAACATAAACAGCGGCAACGTTGCTGTGAGCGATCTGCCGCTGACGCCATCAAGTTAGAATCGGCTAGAACCGACCAGCCGGACCAGCGCGTTAGTGTTCGAGAACGATCAGGATTGCTTTCAACGGGATAAATACGCACGGCACGGCGACATTGCGCTTAGTTTAAAACTGAACGCGTAACCAACGTCCAGCGGTTGGGTTAGTAGATAACAACAAAAAATAATATTATAACAAGCAGTTGTAAAAAGGTAAAGACATGCCACTTTCATTCGGAATGGGAAGAACAATACTTTTTTACAGAAGTTAAAGATAAAAATGTGTGTTTGTTATGTAATACTTCGGTCTCCGTTGCTAAAAAAGGAAATATTGAGAGACATCATAAAACTGTACATTCTAATTTTGAAAAATCATTCCCACTACATTCTGCCACCAGAAAGGAGAAACTGAAACAGTTAAAAAAACAGTTAATTGGACAACAATCAATATTTTTAAGAACAGTTGACAAAAATAAGGCTGCAACTGAAGCATCGTACCGTGTCCCAGATAATTGCACAAAAAAAGAAACCTTATGAAGACGGGGAAATGATAACAGGCGTTTTTAGAAGCTGCTGATTCGTTATTTGCCAACTTTAGAAATAACGACGAGATAGTTTCAGCTATAAAATCTATGCAACTTTCTGCTAATACAATGATGAGACGTGTAGAAGTAATGAGCAATGATATTTTTTTACAGTTAAGAACTGACTTAGATAACTGTGTTTATTTTTCACTTCAACTGGATGAATCAACAGATGTCGTTGACACTGCCCAGATGGCCGTGTTCGTCAGGATGGTTTTTAGTGATTTTACGATTAAAGAAGATCTTTTGAAGTTTATTCCACTGAAAGGACACACTACTGGACAGGAGTTGTTTTCTTATTTAAAAAATATTATTTCTTCCGAGAAAATTCCAATATCGAAAATGGTAGGCTTGACAACCGATGGCGCTCCAGCTATGGTGGGTTGTGATAAGGGTTATGCGTTATGTCGTAAAGATGAAACTTTTCCGCAATTTCTCTGTTACCACTGCATTATCCATCAGCAAGCATTATGTAGAAATTTCCTGAAACTGGTGGTAAAAATTGTGAAAAAGATTAGAGCTCAAGCGTTAAAAAGAAGATTATTCAAAACCTTGGCCGATGAAGTTGACTGTCAATACGGGGACCTACTCCTTCACTCTGAAGTCCGATGGTTAAGTAGAGCAGTGCTCCGCAACCTTTCCTCATCTGAGGCACACCAAACTGCTCCCTAGAATTTCGTGGCACACCAAAATCTAAAATATATTTATAGCAGTGGCG